CCCAGCCCCTGCTGCCCTACTATGTATTGATTGATGCCTCCAGAAGCACAGGAGGGCTGGGGAGGGGGGACCAGCAGGTCCTGAGTGGGGAGGAGTGAGGCTGGATCCCCTCCTCCTCGTTAAAGTTCTGGTGCCCTCCTGGTAAAAGTCCAAACTCAAAGCTACGCCTCATATGGCCCCTGCCTGCCCCTCCAGCTCCATTTTATTTGTCACTCACAGTGGGCTTACCATGCACTAACATTACCCTAAGCTTTTACAAAATTGGCTTCATTTAATCCTTATAAACACCCTATGAAATAGGTACTGGTATTACCCACACTCGATAGAGGAAACAGGCACAGGATCAAGACAGAGCTTGTAAAGGTAGAGCCGGGATGCGAACCCAGGCCGTGTGGGTTCAGAGTCTGTGCTCTAACTGTGCCTGGTGTGTCCTCAAGTTCTCCCTACCCACGTCATTGCCCTTCCCTCAAGCACACTGGGCTTCTCACCTGTCACTTGACTGTTCCCACTTCCATGCTTTCGTGCTCGGGTTCCCTCTGCCTAGACTTCCATCCTTACCTGACAGCTTCTACTTAGCCTTAGACAGCCAACTCAAATGTCACCTGCCTTGTAAAACTGCCCTTGACCCCGTCCTGTCCCCACCCCGCTGCCGAATTAGGCAGCCTCCTCTGTGTCCACAGGGCACTCTGTACACACCGCCGCTGCACGCAGCCCTGGGCCTGGGGGAGGTGGGGCTTGGTGTCAAGGGCTGGCTCCTCCCCAGTTGTCCCATCCCTGGATGCCGATGTGTAGTCTAGGACTTCATCCAGCTCAGGAATTATTGGTAAATGTGGAATGGGCTAAGGGATACAGACAAGACTCCATCCCTTGCCCTCTAAAACCTGACCCACGAGCAGCCCAAGATTCAATGGGATCAGTGTCCCAAGAAAGGCACAAAAAGCTTGGCTTCTCAGCTGCTTGGAGGGACACTGCTATGCTCCCACTGGGAGAGTGGAGGGCAGGCTTCTCAGAGGGTCCTTGAAGCGGGGCGGAAATTCCCCAGCCACGTGGGGCGCATGCGGGCAGGATGAGCTGGGGAAGGATTCCAGGCCGGCAGAGGCACACAGGTAGGAAAGCAGCGTTCAGTTGAGCCTACCAACCCGGCCAGTGGGAGGGCAGTGCAGCAGCTGCCTAGTGCTCCCTGGTGCCCCCTGCTGGCGCCTAGCCCAATACCTGCACATTGTAGGTACACGTTAACGATTTGTTGGGAGCAGATCTTGTGGGGTGTGAAGTCTTATATACAATTTGGCGACCCTGTTTAAGGAAAAGAATGCTGGGTGGCTCAGCAGGTTAAACATCTGACTTGAGCGCAGGTCTTGATCTCACCGTCCGTGGTCTTGAGCCCCGCATCGGGTTCTGTGCTGTCAGCCCAGAGCCTGGAGCCTGCTTCGAATTCTGTGCCTCCAGCTCTGTCTGCACCTCCCCCAGGTCTCTGTCTGTCTGTCTGTCTCTCTCAAAAATAAATAAACATAAAGAAAAGAAAAAAAGAATGCAAAATTCCTACTATACATGTGGGCACAAAAATGAATATTTGCAACGAGAATGAAAGGAGCCATGTGACAGCTGAAGCTGCAGCAGCCCAACTGTTAATCCTCTTCTGGTCAGAAGGCTCGAAGGAGGATGCCAGGCTCTGGGAGCGTGGGCACGAGGCCAACAGGGTGAGCCTTCTCTGTCAGCCCCAGAGGCCCAGGTTCAGAGGCCTCTGAGCCCTCAGTCACCCTTCCAGACGAGCTGCCATGACCATGAATCCGTCACGCTTTGTGGGCCTCTCTGGTGGCAAAAAGGCCAGATTCTCTCAGGTCAGGAGACATCCTCCCCCTGGGGAGGGTAGCCAGAGGGCGAATGTGGGTGTCTGAGAACTATTTGCTGGTCACCTCCTGGTGACCTTGGGCACTCTTCTCCCAGGCCTCAGGGGTGATGGAGGGTCTGTTCTGAAAGCCTCCTTTTCATTCTGGCATTCTGCTCCTCTGAATCGCCTAGGAAGCGCTCCCAGCAGGGGCGGCCGGAGGACTGCTCTCTGAGGGCCTCATTCATTGCCCGATGTTGAGGTCTTAACAAGGGCCTGCTCTACACTCTGCTGGGTGCTGGTGGGTGGGGGTGCACTGCCACGGACACGCTCCCACAGCCCCGTGGGGCCAACTAGACACCAAATATGTAATTATAGAGCCTTCAAGCCAAGCAATCTCATACCAAAGGCCGACTTCCTGGGGGAGTCCAGGAAGGCTGCTCACTGAAGAGACCCTTGATTTGAGAGATGGAACATTCATTCAACAGTTTATTTACTGATGTATCTGGCTCTGTGCTGGGCTCTGACGATATAGCAGTAAAAGGACAGATGGGCATTTGCCCCAAAGTTTCTTCTCTTCAGTTCAGCAGGGAAGTAGACGTTACTCAGGAGAGAAAGGGAAAGTGGTACCCCAGGCAAGGACAGCTGGAGAGCAACCGCCTGGAAGGGACCCACTGCATCCTGCTCATGGACAGAGCTGAGAGAAGTCTGGTACAAGGAGAGAGGGACGTGATTGGGAGAGGAGGCTGGTGAGGTTGGGAGAGAGGCGTGATGGAGGGCTTGAAACACCAGACTAGATATTTAGGACTTGATCGTGCTGGCAACTGGGAGCCATATGAAGGTTCTGGGCAGAAGGAGAAATGCAAGTTTTCTTAGCAAAGTGGCCCCTCCCAACCCTCCCGCCGTATCCACCAATGCAAGTTTCCTGGGGACAACCTCCATACCCCCAACCTCTGGGCTGGGCTAAGAGAGGGTGCTTCCCTCCCCCCAGCCTGGACTTCACCCTCTTCCTTGTTCTTCCAATCAGACCCTAAAGCTGTTGCACTCTCAAGAGGTGATGGGCCAGTGCCTCAGGGTCGGGACCTCATTGAAGACTCCAATCTTCCCTGTGCAGGCCCCGTGGCATTTGCCTCCTGTGGGCTTTAACTGTTTTCTTGCTACCTGGTTTCCCTACAAAAACTTGTGTTTCCCCTATCAATACCTGGCTTAAAAACTTCCAGGCCACCCCTCTGATAACCAGTGAGTCCAGCCTGGGGCCTCAGAATAATCCTGCTGGATTCAGAATCGTGGGTGAGACCCCAACAGAGTTCTTGGTCCTCAGAATAAAGTCTGAACTCCCTCCTGTCTGGCCCTAGGATGCTCTTCTCTTCCCATCACTTCTGCTGTTCCTTCCCTGGGAGCTGTCCAACCACTCTGAACTGTCTGGGTTCAACAAAGGGATGTCCTCCCTCACCGCCACTGTTTTGCCCAGGCTGGCTTCTTTGCCCAGAACACTGTCCATTCCCTGAGGTTCCCTCCTAATCTAGCTACCCTCTACTTCTGCCCCGAGCCTGCCTGTTACTCCCTCAAGGAAGCCTTGCCTAATTCTCCAGAATAGACCAGTGTTCTTTCAGACTCCATGCCTTTGCATATGCTGTTTCCTCTGCCAGGAATACCCTTCCCTCCATTTTTTGATGTCTGGTGCCTGTCCAGTCACTGCCAAGTAGCAGCATCTTTATTTTCCCTTTTACAGATGAGGAACCAGAGGCACAGAAAGGTCAAGTAACCTGGTCACAACCACACAGCCCTCCCCTAGAAAGTGATAGTGATAAGTGGTTAGAATCCTGTGCCAGCCATATGATCTTGAGAATATCACTTGGCCTCCTGTGCTTAGGTGTCCTCATCAGGGACATGGGGTAACTATTGTGTAAGGTTGGTGTGAGCCTTACTGAAAAGCTGTACTGTGCAGCCTCCATTCCTTTGCTCCCCAGGCCAATTAGTGGCTTCTACATGACCCAGCAGCACATGGACACTAATTCATTCATACATCAAAACCCTCTTAACATCTGCCCTGTGCCCTGCCCTGCGCAGTTGGCAGGGGACTCTTGGAAATAATCAGACACAAAGCCCACCACCCCCAAAGCGCTGGGGGAGAGGAGGGGAGATAGAGGGGTGAGGGGAGAGAAAGAGAAAGATTGAGAGAAAGAGGGATTGTCAGAGAGGGAGTGTGTGTGTGTGTGTGTGTGTGTGTGTGTGTGTGATCCTCACACACTGCTTTTGATTTAGTGTATCGAAAACTGACGGCTTTCCTCCTCGAGGATTGGCGCCGGGAAGGGGGAAGTGTTGAAGGAAGTTAAGAAAGAAGGAAGATAGGTAGGTAGATTCGATCTTTATTTTCAAAAACTTATTTTTCACCGCTTCGTGAAATCTGAGTATTTCACAGCTTCCAACGCTCACCTCCGCGCGCTGAGCCCTTGAAGCTGGGGAAGGGGGAAGAGTACTGTGAAGGCGGTGTCCCGCCACCCCGGTGAGCTCCCCAATCCCTGGGAGACTACTCTATCCCCAAATATCTTACCTCGCCTCCACCCTGCTTCTTTTCCTGACTCCCCGCTCCCCAACACACGGCAGCCTCTGCGCCCCCACCCCCCACACACCAGTCGACATCACCTCTCCCTCCATCGGGGTCCCCAGGTGACCCTGTACCCCACTGCACTCTTTAAAACCCCCCACCCCTCCATTACCTCTCCCTCCATCGGGGTCCCCAGGTGACCCTGTACCCCACTGCACTCTTTAAAACCCCCCACCCCTCCATTGTCCTCTCCCGGGACGCAAAGTCTCCACGGTCTGCCCCGCCCTCTTCAGGTTAGAGTACAAGTTCCGCAGAGCTCCGCTCTTTTCCCATCTTCCCATTGGCTCCCGCTGTCCGACCGAGCGGGGCCGAAGGAGGGTATCTGGGGTGCGCCCCGCCCCTTGGCAAAGGCCCGGTGGGGGCGGGGCCTCGCCTGACTCCGCCCCGTTCGGACGGGGCCGCGCCAGCTGGCGCGCTGGCGCTGGGCGGCGCTGCCTCCGCTGGGCTCGCCTCCGGCTGCAGCTCTTGTGGGGGTGGGCGGCTGGGATGACAGCAGCGGGGGTGGCTGCGGCTGCCGCGCAGGGCTGAGCGAGCCGCGAGCGAGCCGGGGGAAGAGGAGGAAGTGGAGCCGCGGCCCCGAGCTCCGGAGTCAGCCGACGCGCCGAGGTCCGCCCCATTTTGCAGCGCGAGCGGAGTCCGGACCTGGGAAGACTTCTCCGCCGGGCTCCGGCCGCCGCGGCTCTGCGCGTCCTCGCCTGCGCCCGGCCCCGCCTGCCCCGGCCCGGGGTTCTGTGCCGGGACGCTCCCAGCCCCGCGGTCTCGCGCGTCGTGGCTGGGACGCCCTGAGCTCTCGACCCGATCCAGTGCACTGGGACGGGAAGCTGCTGGCCCACCATACTGGTCCATGGTTGCGGGCTTGTGCCCAGCCTTTCTATAGTGTGTGTCGGAGACCCCAGACCTCCGTCCGAGACCCGGGTTAAGGCAGGTGCCACAGCCCTCCGACCGAGTGCAAAGGAGCCCAGAAGCCCCCCGGCCTCTGGCTCCCGAGACCCGAGACTTCAGCTGCCTTCCGCCCGGTGCCTCGGACTTGGGACCGTGCGAACGCCCAGGAAGCTCCGGCCCGGGTCCAGCACCCCGTGAGGGGTCCCAAGCGGGCTGGGCGGTCGGACTGAGCCGGACCCAGCTGGTGCTGTGAGCCGAGGCTGTCACCTTTCTGCCGCTCCAGGCGAGAGGCTCAGCGCTTGCCCCGAAGAAGGGAACACAGGCCACCCACCACCCCGGCCCCGGCGGCGGGCGAGAGCCGAGAGCTGCAGGTGAGACAGCCCCGGATGCCAGGCGAGGGCGGCCTTCGACCCCTACCGGGCAACACGGGGGCCAGCTGCGGGCGTGTACCGGGCACTAGCTGGGGCTGGAGCTAGGAGAGGGCGCCTGGAAGGGAGAAAACGGGCACTTATTGAGCGCCCATTGTGTGCGCGTCCGCGCCCCACCCTTGCGCAAATGGTCCTCGTTTAAGGCTCACTACTATTCCAGGAGAAAAAAGGTGTTGTGCATTGTTATGAGCTCTTAACAGACTGGGAAGCTGAGGCGCAGCGGGGTTGAGTGACACTGATCTTTTCACTCTGGGGGACTGAGACTGGGTTGGAGGGTTAGGTTGGAAAGGGAAAGAAGCGAAGAACGAAGAAAGGAAGTGGAGAGCCCCCAGACAGGAGGTGGCGGGGAGGGGTCAAAGTAGGGCCACTTGGGCATCCAAGAGCTGATCCTGAGGCTGCGGAGGTGGCTTCCTCTGGCCGCCTTCCCTCTCACTCCACAGCCAGGTCACGTCCCAGGAAAGGTGACCCAGAGTTGAGGGGAGAGATGGGAAGCTTCCCAGTTCCACAGCTTCCCTCCCTGTGGACCCTCAGACCAGGGAGCAGTGGCCCCCGTGTGCCAGACTCTCTAAGACACCAGGCATCCTGAGGTGCTGCTTACTTGTTGGGAAAACTCACTCTAGAGGTCCCCAAGTCCGAGCCGGTCAGAGCCAGAGGAGGTGAGGGCTCTCAGCGCTCCCCAGCTCTCCTCCTTCACATTATTAATGGGATGCGGGAGGCTGGGGGGGGGCGGTGTGTGTGTGCCAGTTGTCCAAGGGGCTAAAGTAAGTAAGTGGTTGAGGCAGAGTACGCTTGAGACAATCTTCCCAAAGACCTTTCAAGATATCTGCTCCCAGCTAGCATCTTCTGGGTGGGTGGCGGGGGTTTTCCCACCCCTGATGTGAGGTCATGGTGACCGCTTATGAGGCTGCTTTGGGAGGCTGTGTGGTGCTTGCTGGGCCCCGAGACAAGCCAGCAATCCCATAGCCTTTGGCCCAGACTGAAGGTCTGACCTCAGCTTCTCCTGGGCAGGGGAACCTGCCAGACACCTCTGGCCCGGGAGGGGAGGGGAGGGGAGGGGAGAGGCTTGCTCAGGGTCTCCAGGCTGGGGCTGCCAGGGCTAGGGGCACAGTCCCAGGTGTCTGCATTCCCAGGCAGGGGCTCCTTCTCTTGCCCCCTGGGGCCATGCAGAAAGAGGGGTGTTGTGAAAGATAGCTTGGCATGAGCTCTGTAGGTTCTTGTTCTGAGTGGGGAGGAGGAGGGGACACGGCCTTGGTCTGAGCCCTGTGGCCTTGGCTGGGACTAGTTAACCTCTGCTGTGCCCAGCTTCCTGGTGTTGTGGGGAAACCCCCTTGGAAAGCCCCTGGGAGGTAGAGGAGGGTGGAGAGGTCAGCTGAAGGCTAAAGCTCAGTCCCTGAGGGTGGAGGGATTGGGGGCGCCGGAAGAGAAGGTTACAGAGGGGCTTGGCATTCTCCCCAACTCCCATCCATGGGGATTCAAATTCTAATAACCCCTGCATCTAAACAAAGCTCCCCTTTGATGAGATAATTTCACACCTGTGATCTCATTTCATGGTGTGGTGGAAAGAACCTGGAACCTGGAGAGAGGCAGAATGGGGGTTGCGGAGCCACCTGGGACCTCGCAGATGCGTGCATGTCTCCAAGCCTCACCTGTAAAATGGGGTCAAGGCGGGCTGTGTGTTACCTGTTCAGATAATGGGGCCATCACATCTGGCAGACTGTCAAGTGCTAAAGAGATTTTTGTGTTTGCCAAGGCCGGGCTTGTTACTAATGGCTACCATGTGTGGAAAACGGAGGCTCGGAGAGATGAAGCCACTTGCTTGCCCAGGGCCTTTGAGTTTGCTTCGGGAATTGAGCGTCCATTCATTCCAGGTGCTCTGGAAGTTACCCAGATGGAAAAGGCAGTGGGGCGACTAGCTCCCATTTGGGTGGGCTAAACAGCACAGGCAGCCGGTGCTAAGTCAGACCAGGTGGGCGTGAATCTGCTCTGCCTCCCATTGGCCACGTGGCTCTGGGCCACATGCACTTTATTCAAGAGCGCCGGCATCTCTGTAAATTAGAACTTCTCCTTTGCAAGGTTGTTGTGAGGATTAAATAAGGTATAAATATATAGTGCTCGGTCCAATATCTATTTCCTTCTCTGTAAAGAAAGGAGGCTGGAATTTTGACCAGGAAAATTCTCAGATTGGCAGCTGGGCTACTGTTGCAGGCTCACAGACTTGGCTTTGCTCAGCTGGGCTCCTGGATGGGTCACGCTCTCCTGGCGGTTTCCCCGCTCCACAGCCTTCCAGAATCTGCTTGGGGACCCTGGCTAGGGGCTCTGGGTTCTGACCCCCCTACGCCATCCCAGGGCTATTGGCTTCTGGGGTTGGGGGTAGCTGGTGTTCATTCCCCCTGGCCCCTTGTCTGCTCTCCCGAGGCACAAAGATGCAGTGAATAATTTATGGTTCCCCTCCTGAGCTGGGAGGCAGGCTCAGGGAAGCTGCTCTGTGCTCAGCTGAACTTCTGAATCTCACTGTAGCAGGTGGGTGGTTCCTGTCAGTGCTACTCAAAGTCTTGGATATGGAGGGAGGGGGACAAGACAGGAAGAAAGTGACTTATCATCGACCCTGGCTCTTTTCCTGTTGGGGGCCGGAGCAAGGTAGACTCGCAGGAAACAATGGAAACCAAGCTAGATGTGCTAGGATCAAGTCATGGGGCTCTGATTCCAAATGAGTGGTAGGGGCTGGCAGGGATTGGCTTTGAGGCTGGAGTAACCCAGAAGGCTTCAGAAGGCTCTGGTCTGGGACGAGAGGCAATTTGCTCTAGCGAGCAGGGGTCCTGACATCAGTTCAAAATGGAATCCTGGCTGTGCCACTTCCTTACTGTGAGACAGTGAGCGAGATACCGCCCTGCCAGGCTTCTGTTTCATCCTGTGTAAAATAAGAGACATTATGGGTGACTGCGAGGTCGTATATGTAAAGCACCAATTTACATATTGGTAAAAGGGTGCTTCACTGTGGACATGAAGCATGGGGTGGGCTAATGACGGGGCTGATGGGATGGTGTAGAAGGCAGAGAGGTGGGAAGAAATCTGGAGTGGTAATACTGGGGTTTGTGGGGTTGGAGAGAGGTTTGGAAAAAAGGGATGGGTGGCCAGACAGTAGAGAGCCTTGACTCTCAGACAAAATTCAATTTCAGAAAGCATATGGAGTCCTCACAGAGAACCCTCTGTGGCTCTTTCTTGACTGTAAAATGACCAGGCCCCTTTGTTGTGCATTCGAGGCCTTGCCCAGTGTAGCCACTGCACAGACCTCTGGCTTATTGCTCATCACGGTCTCCCAAACATATCATGTGCTGCCGTCTGCTCATCATCTCTGCCGTCCCTGCTTCTCTGCTCACCTCCCCATTTATGTAGGCCTACCTCAGGTCATAAATCCCCCCCAAAAATATCCCTGGATTACCTAACCCTCTCTGGTCACTTCTCTGAATTTTTAACACTTCCCAGTAATAGTCACAAATAATACCTACCACTGCATCACATTTTACAGTCAGCGAAATGTATCTGTGTACTCATTTAGTAACACTGTGCTGATGATATTAACAACGGCTAATGCCCTTGAGTACTTCTGAGCCGCTGTGCTAAGTACTTTATAGATACTCTCATTCACAACCCTGGGAAGTAGCTCCTGTTATCACCCAGATACTGGGGCTCAGAGAGGTACACTGCCTTGTTCAAGGTCACCCAGCTAGACAGTGGGGAGTGAGGAATCAGGCTCCTATCTGTGACTGAAATGTCCTGTCTCCTCAACTCTACCCAAGTACCTCGAGAGCATACTTTGCATGGAAAAAGCTTGGAAAGGAACCTTTTTCTCAAGGCTAAGGAAGGGCCAGGTATCCAGACCCTGGCTGTGCAACTTGGGGTGAATCGGCCCCGCTCTGTGGTCCCGTTTTCCCATGTCTGTGGTGAGTGGGGTGGCGTCCCAGCCCCTGGAGCCGCAGGCTTCTGCAGTGTCCTCTGTGACTCTAGAAGGTGGAGGAGGAGACCACAGCAATCGGGGCCAGAGGATGTGGTGTGATGGGTAGCTGTGATTTTTGGCCTGGCCACTGTCTGGGCCAGCAGCTCTGTAGTTAGCTGCTGCTTGCCCTGAAGGGGGTGGCTGCCTGGGCTGCTGGCAACGCGGTCATTAGCTGGGCAGAGAAGACCCTGTTATTGGGAGCCGGCCGGGCTGGGCCAGGTTGGCAGGGCTGGGGCCCAGCTGGCCCAGCCCCAGTGGGGTCATTGGCAGGGCACCTCCTCTCCTTCCTTTGCGGCCACCCAGGTGGTGGCAGGTCCTCACTGGGCACCAGAACTTTGTAGGCCAAGGCCTGCCCTTCTGTCTGTTGTGGTGGCCATGGTGGCAGAGCAGTGAGGATTCTATGCACACCTGAAGATGCCTCCTCCTAGAAGCTTCCACGACTCCCCCCAAGCAGGCAGAATGTAAGTCTCCTTCTGGATGGATCCACACGCTTACTCGCTGACTGTGGCCTGTGGAGAGGGTTTGTGTGGGGCTGCTTGCCTTGCCAGCCTTTCAGAACCAGGTTATTCTCTGCCACCCCAGTCTTCCCCTCCTGACCGAGCGCCTGGCACAAAGGAGCATCCCCCTAGTTGGGAGGGGTGGTTCAAGCTACCCTTTGGGCCAGCCGCTCAACCTTTGTACCTCTGTTTCCTTCTCTGTAAAATGGGGCTGATAATAATAGTATTGTGGGGGTGAAATTAGATGACGGGAGTGAAGTGCCCAGCCGGGCTGGGCACACAAGTGGGTGCTATGTCAGCCTGAGTCTGCTTGCCCTGCCTGTCTCCTCGGCAGCCCCAGGAGGGAGTGGCTCGGAGAGAAGCTGATTGAAGGGTCCAGCCGGAGATGCCAGGAGGGAGGAGGACTCGCCGGAGAAGGACACTTTGCTGTCTGGTGAGGGCTCTGTCAGAGA